GAGAAAGTGAACACTTACTCCTGTTACATATATTAGCACAACTGCTTTGTGTTTCTCCCCATTTAATGTTTTGTTGGTTATATGCTAGTTACAAATTACCTTTATTATGTTTATGGATGTACATTGTGTCATAATCTCTCCAAGGTTTTTTTTATTACAAAGCATTGTTGGCTTTTGTCAAATATTTTCTCTGCATCTTATGAAGTGATTTTGTGTGCTTTTTCATTCAGTTTATTTATATTGTGGATTATATTGACTGATTTTGATAAATTTTAACCATCCTGCCTCTTTGGGATTGAGCCTACTTGGGATATATGCTCCTGGATTAAGTTTTTGAATATTTATAGAGTGTTTCTCCATCAATATTTATGAGAGAAGTTGGTCTGGAAATGTTTTTGATTCAGTTTTTGTGTGGTTTGAGTATCAGAGTCACTGTGGCATCATAAAATGAATTGATTAATGTTCCTCCCAATTCTGTTTTATAGAATTATTTGAGGAGCATTTGTACTCACTCTTCTTGAAAGTTTTGTAGAATTCCACACTTTAACCATCTTGCCCCTTTGTTTCATTTTTGTATGTCTGTCTGTTTGTTTGTTTTGTTGAGAGACTTTCAATGACTACTTCTACTTTGTTAGGTCTAATTAAGCTGTTTATCTGATCTTGAAGTAATTTTGGTCAATGGTATCTCTGGAGAAATTTCTCCATTTCTTTCAGATTTTTCAATTTTTTCCAATACAGGTATATAAAATATGACCTAGAAATTCCTGTGTTTCATTGGTATCTGTTTTTATTTTCTTTTTTAATTTCTGACTTTGATAATTCAAATATTCTCTTCATCTTTTAGCTTGTTTAGATAGATTTATCTATCTTGACTTTATTAAATTACCAACTCTTATTTTATCGATTCTCTATATTGTTTTTTATACCTCTTTTTAAATCAATTTTAACTCTTAGTTAATTTCCTGTCATCTCATACTCCTCATGCATTTTCACTTCATTTGTTCTAGGACTTTCATGTGTATAGGTGATTGCTAGTATGAGATTTCTCCAACTTTTTTATGTAGGCATAATTCTATGAATTTCCCTGTTAACATCAATTTCATTGTGTCTCATAAGTTTGGATATGTTCTGTATTGATTTTCATTGAATCCTAAAAAGTAATTAATTTTTTAAAATTTCTGTCTTGACCAAGTATCATCCAGTTAGGAGTTATACAGTTTCTATTATGTTGTAGACTTTTTTGTTAGGTCTGTTGTCATAATCGAATTTAATCGATGATTGTCTGATATGAAGCAGGGGTATTTTTTTTATCTTTTGAGACTTGATTCATGACTGAGTATATGGTAAATTATGGAGAAATTTCCATCAGGTATTGTGAGGGAGGATTGTTTTGTATTTGGGTAAAATGTTCTCTAGATACTTGGTAGCCATATTGCTTTTAATGTCTCTTAACACAAGTATTTCTCTGTTTAGTTTTCTTTTCTTTTCTTTTCTTTTTTTTGATGATGTGATGTTGGTGAGGAGAGTGGGATATTTATCACTATCAATGAATGGTAGTTGATGCATGATTCAAGATTTAGTAATGCTTCTTTTACAAACATGGTTGTCCTAGTGTTCCATAGGATGATATTTTGTTTGTGGTCTAACAAATCAAGGTTGCATGAAGAGCAGAGGGTGAAGTCAGCTTAACCACACATATCTGAAGTTCTGTACATCAGACAGGAAGTGATATCGATCTCACATAGAGAAAAATAACAGGAGGAGACAGGAGTGCGGCCTTTTTCCATTGAGAGTTACCAAAGTAAGAGTTTGCAGTGGCTTGCTCTTTCTCTCTGTGATCTTTCAGCACTTGCCCTAATATCTGGCACCAGGTTTTTTTTATTAAGACCTATTAGAATTCATGTGATAGTTCAAAGCATAGCTGTCAAGAATTCAAATGTCATCTTGGTGGAATTTTCCTTTGATGAGTGTGAAGTGTCCTTTATCTCTTTTGATTAATTTTGGTTTGAGGTTTTCGTTTTGATAATTAGAATAGTTACCCCAGCTTGCTTCTTAGGTCTGTTTTCTTTTAAAATACTTTTCTAACCATTTCCTCTGAGATAATATCTATCTTTGATGGTTTTGTGTGTTTCTTGCATGCAGCTGAAGGTTGGATCCTGTTTACTCATCCATTCTATAATTCTGTCTCTTTTTATTGGGAAATTGAATGCTTTGATATTGAGAGATATCAATTACCAGTGAATGCTATTTCCTGCTATTTTATTGCTGATAGTGGTGACAGTGTGTTTGTGTGTGTGTGTGTGTGTGTGTGTGTGTGTGTGTGTGTGTGTGTATGTGTGTGTGTGTGTGTGTGTGCATGCATGCATGTGCGTGTACACGGGTGTAAGTGTGTTCTTGCTTTCCTTTTCTTTTGCTGGTGCAAAATTATTTATTTCCTATCTTTTTCTGGGCAAAGTTAAAGTCCTTGGGTTAAATTTTTTCTTGTAGGATGTTCTGTAGTGCTAGATTTGTAGGTAGTGTTTAAATTTGACTTTATCATGGAATATCTTGGTTTTTTCCTCTATGCTGATTGAAAGTTTTTCTGGATATATTAGTCTGGGCCGGCATTAAAGTCTCCAAGACATCTATGCAGGTTGTTCCATCTTTTAGAGTCTCCATTAAGAAGTCATGTGTAGTTATAATAGGTCAGCCTTTATGTGTTACTTGGCCTTTTGCTCTTGCAGCTTTTAAAAATCATTCCTTTGTACTGCATGATTTGTGTTTTGATTACTACATTGCCAGGGGACTCTTTTTCTTCTTCTAATCTATTTGATGTTCTGTATGCTTCTTGTACCTTTACAGGCGTGTCCTCCTTTAAGTTAGGAAAATTTTCTTGTATAATTTTGTAGATAATATTTCCAGGGTTTTTAAGATGGGATTCTTCTTCTACTTCAGTTCATATTATTATAATGCTTGGTATTTTCACAGTGTCTCTGATTTCCTGTTTTTTTTATTTTTTTGTTAGATTTTAGAAAGTTTTACTTTTAACATTTTTTGACTAATGTATATATTTCTTCTATAACATCTTCAACACCTGAGATTCTCTCTTCCGTCTCTTGTATTGTTAGTGTCCCTTGATTCTATAGTTACTGTCTCCTTGCTTAGATTTTTTTCATTTACAGAATTCTCTCAGTGTGTTTTCCTATTTCATTCTTTTTCAATTTTCAGTGCTTAAACAATTTATTTTTTTCAATCATTTGCTTGATTTTTGGTTTGTTTCTGTCTTTATTTTATTTTTCTTGGCTTTCTTTAAGAGATTTATTGATTTCTTGTTCCTTTTTTTGGTTGGATTTTCCTCTAATTCTTTAAGGGACTTATTCATTTTCATTTGACCTTCCTCTATCATCTCCATAAAGTTGGTACTCCGGTTTTTTCTTGCATGTCAGTTTTTTTGGAATATTTGGGGCCTCTGGTGGTGACATATTGATCTGGCTATTCTTGATATTCTTATGATAGCCCCTAGAAATCTGGGTTTGGGGTGGTAACAGGTCTAGGTGCCGAATTCTGAGTTTGTCTCTGCTCCATGAGTGTTTTGCTTCTGCTTTCAGATCTTCTATCAGCTTAGTGGCTGAATCTGAATCTATTTATATGCTAAGTACTCTCTAGGAACCCATATCCCCACAGTCTGTACCCTGCCACCCAAGCCACACTATGGTGGGATTTCCAGTCCGCTCTCCCTTGCCCAGCCTTGGGTCTGGTACTACTGCCAAGGAAGTTTTCAACTAAGTCTCTGTCATTGTGTTTGCCCACAAACCTGGGATGAAAATTGAGATAAAGACCTGTTATCTCACAGAGGCAGAAGAGCAACCAGCTTCTTTTCCTTTTTGGTCAGAGACCCAGCAAGTGAGTGTTGCTCCATCCATCCCAAACGGAAAAGACCATGAAACTCCAGGTTCCTCCCTAACTTTTTCCTGTGATTCTCTCTTCCTGTTTTCCCATATCCACCATAACCTCTATTGTTAATTCCTGTCAACTAGCTGCTGCATCAGCATACTAATCCAAGGCTGACTTTATTAACACAGTCCTGATTTTCACAGTGTAATAAAATAACTTATAACAGTTTCCTCTTTCCTCTCTGATTTTCTGACAAGATTAGACTACAATTGAGCAGGCAATCTCCGCCCAAGTTGGGGGCTGGATTTCTAGTGACTGTGGTGACTTCTGATCAAGCAGGAGTTCTCTATACTTGGGACTTGACAAAGTGATGAGGAGGGGTAGGAAATTGGAGTGGGGGTACTGAGAAAGTAAGGGGACCCCTGACATTCAGCCTACCTGACATTTTGGCAGATAGCATGACCCCTGGTCAAGCAAGAGTCATGTCCGGGTTTCTTGATGTCTATCGGTTTAACATGTTAAGTTCTGATTCTGACTTTTTTTTCAAATTATGTGTACAATTGTGTTTTCATGTATAGGGATATTTATGTATGAGTGTGGCTACACACAGTATCCAGAAAAGAGTATCTTGGATATTGGGCTTTGAAAATTATTATTTTTATGTTCATCCAGACATAAAATTGTCACGTATTCAAAAAAACAGAAGTAATAGTTTTCAGAATGTGTTTCTAAACACTTATTATAAAAATAATTAAATCTGTAGGAGCTAGAGAGATGGCTCAGTGTTTAAGAGCACTGGCTGCTCTTCGAAAGGAGCCATATTCAGTTCTCACTATCTACATTGCAGCTTAAAATTTTCACACTTCTATGACCATTCTCATGAGAAAAATCCCATTCCGTGAACTTTGGATTTTCTATGTCCATAAGCCTTTATGTAGAACTGGGTTCAATGTTCAAATTTCTCAATTATGCCTCAGCTTTCTGATCACATGATACACATTTTCCATTTGTGAGATAGAGAAACATACCTGTTGTGACTCCTCAAAGAATGAAAAAGCTACCTATTCTCATTAAAAAAAAAAACTGTCGGTAAAATGAGAGTTTTCATCTACCACAGAACCCACATAGACATTTAGGCATATTAATTTTGATACATCATGAATCATAGGGAAATAAGGCTGTAAAGAAATACATTAGCCCTGAAAATTGTTGAAGAATATGACTTTTTTGGGATTTCAGAATGGGATAATATTTTACTTTCATTTGTTTCTCTCTTAACTGAAGTATAGTTCCAGGAAGTTCTGAATTTGTACAGAGTAGAAGTGACAAGTCCAGACATCAGCCTGAGCAGTCTTCCTCCAGTGAAGCTTCCAAAAGACATCCACACATGTCAGTATTCATCAGAAAATGGAAAATTAGGGTGACCCTCAAACCTGCAAATACAAAGAAAATTGATAGTACATTAGAACATGCTGTATCGAGAAGTGATTTCTATGAAGCAGATTTTAGTATGGAAGTATATAATTTTCTTTTCCTAAGGCATACAATCTTCTTTTCTTACTTTAAATAACACTGCTTTCTACTTGAAAAGCAAACAATAAATGAATGATTTAGTTTATCCTGTTTTCTCTAATACCAAACATATAGAAAACAAAGAATCAAATGCTCAAACACATATCTATCAACAAAAGGAAACAGGGAAAGAAGAGTCAGCCATTGAAAACACTGGTTATTCTTCCAAAGGAACCAGGTTCTAGTCATACCATCCAAAAGCTGGCTCATAAACATTTTTAACTCTAGTTTCAGGGAATCCTATGCAATCCTCTGGCGTATATGGCGCCAGAAATACATGTGATACACAGATATTCATATAGGAAAAACCCATGTGATTAAAAAAGTTAAATAACAAACAAGAATATATGTATACACACACACACACACACACACACACACACACACATATATGTGTGTATATATGTATATATATATCCATTTGTAATAACAGCTGCCAAGGAGATACAGAAGGTACCATTTAACAAGACCAGTCTCTTCATTACTTACAACAGGTCCTAGATGATAAAGATGTTACAGGGGGCCAATCCAAGGCCTGAATATATGAATCTGGGCGGTAGCTAAATTGGTCAGTCCAGGCTCCTAGAGCCACATGGAATCTCCATGGTTCAGGGTGGCCTCAGGATATCCCAGAGAAGTTTCATGAGGATCCAGTGAGATGGTGTGCTAGAAGCCAGATGCCTTGAACCAGACCAATGACTCATTGCAATGAACATTTGTTAGCAACACTGATTGGATGAAAGTGTATACTATGAGATGAATTGCTCATAATGGCACAATAACAAATAAAGCAGAGTTGAAGATGGTACTAGTTTGAATGTAATAGGCCCCCATAATCTCAAAGGGAGCAACACTATTATGAGGTCCATCTTTGTCCAGTGGGTATAAACCTATTGGAGGAAGAGTGTCACTGTAATGGCAGGCTTTGTGGTTTCCTTTGTTGAGGATACTGATCAGTCTCACAGTTGATGTCCTGTGCTTGCAAGGTATACCAATCTCAGCTCCAGTACTACATTTGCATGTATGCCACCATGATCCTGTCATGGTAATACTAGACTGAGCCTCTGAAAGTGTAAGTCACCCCCTCAATTAAATATTGTCTTTCTAAGGAATGCTATTTTCTGTTGTTTTTTTACAGAAATAAAAACCCAAACTAAGTTGGCAGCAGGAGTGGAATATTGCTATGATATAATAGGAAATGATTTTGTTTGGAGTAATATGGTCTTTAGAAGTTTGGGTTAGGAAAGAAATGAAATGCTTTGAGCACTGCATAATATCAATACTAGTAGAAGCATGAAAGACAGAGCTTCTCAAGGTGATTTGATGGACTCTGGAGATCCACAGGTTTCAAAGGAGAACAACAACATGACACCAGTAAAATCTAGTGACCCTACAGCAATGACACTTAACAACCAAGTATAGTTGAAACAAAAGAAATTTACCTAAAAATTAACTTCAGGAGAATGCTTGAGACTTTTAAAGAGGAAATGAGCAACTCCCTCAATGATATGAAGGAAAAGACAAAAAATTGAAAGACATCAGCAAATCCCTTAAAGAAAATCAAGAAAGAGCAATCAAACATATGAAAGAAACTATTCAAGACTTGAAAACTGAATTAGAGATAATAAAGAAAACATAAGCTGAGGGAATTATAGAAACAGACATTATGAGAAAATAATCAGGAACTACAAATACAAGCATAAACAACAGAATACAAGAGATGGAAGAGAGAATCTTAAGCACTGAAGATACAATAGAAGAAATAGACTCATCAGCCAAAAAAAATTAAATATAACAAAAACTTAACACAAAATATCCAAGAAATATGAGACACCATGAAAAGACCAAACATAAGAATAATAGGTAGAGAAGAAGAAGTTCAACTCAAAAGCACAGAAAATATATTTAACAAAATCATAGAAGAAAATTTTTCCAACCTAAAGAAAGATATGTCTGTGAAAGAAGATTGCAGAACTCCAAATAGACTGGATAAAAAAATGTCTCCTCACCACATAATAATCAAACATACAGAATATAGAAAGAATATTAAGCGTTGCAAAAGAAAAAGGTCAAGTAACATAAGACGGCAGACCTACCTGATTTACACCTGATTTCTCAGTGAAAACAATGAAAGCCAATAGGTCCTGTTCAAGCATTATGCAGACACTAAAAGACTATGGATACAAGCTCAGACTACTATACCCAGCAAAGCTTTCATTCACCATAGAAGGACAAAACAAGATATCCCATGGCATAACCATATTTACCCAATATCTGGCCACAAACCCAAACTTCACAAAGTTTTAGGAGAAAAACTCCCACCCAAGGGAATTCGCTATATCCAGACAATAGCAGAGACAATTGATAATCTCATAGCAGCAAATCCCAAAGGGGAAAAATTATATAAAATAACATCACCAATAAGGAAAACGAAATAAACAGAAGATGACAATCACTGGTCATTAATATCCCTTAATATGAATGGACTCAACTCACCGATAAAGAGACACAGGCTAACAGATTTGATATGAAAACAGAATCCATCCTTCTGCTGCATAAAAGACACAAACCTCAACCTCAGAGACAGACATTGCCTCAGAGTAAAGGGTTGGGGAAAATTTTCCAATCAAATGGACCTAAGAAACTAGCTGGTGCAGCTCTCCCAATACCTAACAAAACAGACTTCAAACTAAAATCAATCAAAAGAGACAAAGGACATTTCATATTAGTCACAGGAAAAATCCATCAAGAGGAAATCTCAAAATTGAACCTTTATGCCCCAAGTACATGGGCCCCATCATACGTAAAAGAAACTAAAGTTTAAATCATACATTAAAGCCCACACACTAATAGTGGGAGACTTCAACATTCCACTCTCACCACTGTCAGTCAGACAAAAAATTAACAGAAAAATAAGGGAAAGATATTATGACTCAAATGGACTTAACAGACATCTATGAAATATTCCATCCAAACATAAAAGAATATACCTGATGTGGAAGGTCCTTCTGTTTATGTGCTACTCTTATTGGTTAATGAATTAAGAAACTGCCTTTGACTGTTGATAGGGTAGAACTTAGGTAGGTGGGGAAAACTGAACTGAATGCTGGGAGAAGGGAGACAGAGAGGGAGAAGTAATGGAACCGCTGCCAGAGACAGACACTGGGAACTTTAGCTGGTAAGCAAGATCACATGGCAATACACGGATTAATACAAATTGGTTAAATTAATATAAAAGTTAGTCAATAAGAAGCTAGAAATAAGGGGTCAAGCATTGTTTTAATTAATATAGTTTCTGTATGGTTATTTTGGTTCTAGGCAGCCAGGATGAACAAGCACCTTCTCCAACATATACCTTCTTCTTAGCACCTTATGCCATCTTTTCAAAAATTGACCACATACTTAGTAACAAAACAAACCTGAATAGAAAAAAAAATTATAATAACCCCACCTATCTTATCAGATCACCATGGCTTAATATTAGAATTCAAAAACAGCACTAATTCCAGAAAGCCCACAAACATATGGAAATTAAACAATGCTCAACTGAAGCATCAATGGGTCAAGGAAGAAATAAAAGAAGAAATTAAAGACTTCCTAAAATTCGATAAAAATGACCGCACAAAATACCCAAATTAATTGGACACAATGAAAGCAGTGTTAAGAGGAAAGTTCATATCACTAAATGCATATATAAAGAAGCTGGAAAAATCCCATACTAGTGAATTAATAGAACATTTGAAACTTGAGAACAAAACCAAGCAAACTCACACAAGAGAACTAGATGAGTTGGTTCTTTGAGAAAATCAACAGAATAGACTCACCTTTATCCAAAGTAACCAAATGGCAGAGAGAAAATATCCAAAAATGAACAAAATCAGAAATGCAGCGGGGGATGTAACAACAGACACTTAGGAAATACAGACAATCATCATGTCATATTTCAAAAATCTATACTCCACAAAATTGGATAACTCAGGAAATAGTCATATTTCTGGAGAAATATTACTTACCCCAAAATTAAATCAAGACCATATAAACAAATTAAACAGACCTATTATTTCTATTTCTATAGAACTAGAAACAGTCATCAAAAATCTCCCAACCAAAAAAAAAAACCTTAGAACTAGATGATTTCAGTTCAGAATTCTACAAAATTTTCAATAAAGAAGGAGTACCAAGATTCCTCAAATTATTCCACACAATAGAAACATAACGAACATTGCCATACTCATCTTATGAGGCTATAATTACTATGATATGAAAGCCACATAAAGACATTACTAAGAAAGAGAATTACAGACCAATATTATCATGAACAGTGAATCCAAGAACACATCAGAGTCATCATCCACTATGATCAATTCGACTTCATCCCAGACATTCAGGGATGGTTCAACATAGAAAAATCTGTCAACATAACCTACCATATAACTACCCTGAAAAATAAAAACCACATGATCATCTCATTAGATGCCAAAAAAGCTTTCGACAAAATACATCCCTGCGTAATAAAGGTCTTGGAGAGAGCAGGGATACAAGAAACATATCTAAATAAGTAAAGGTAATATACAGCAAGGCAACAGCCAACATCAAACTAAATGGAGATAAACTCCCAGTAATCCCACTGAAATCAGAAATAAAACAATTGTCCACTCTCTCCATATCTATCCAATATATTTATTGAGGTTCTAGCTAGAGCAATAAGAGAACAAAAGGAGATCAAGGGGATGCAAATCAGAAAAGAAGAAGTCAAATTCTTAATATTTGCTGATGATATGATAGTTTACATTAGTTACCCTAAAAATCCTACCAAGGAACTACTAGAACTCATAACCACTTTCAGTAATATAGCAGGATA